ATAGTTTGGCAATGAGTTAATATTAAACAATAGTAAAGGGTAATATATTTATAAACTTGAATTAGACTACCTAACGAAACAATTTAGTTTGTTTCATTTCAATAACTCATTATAATACTCTAAATTAGTTATTATGACATAGTTTTCATTATATTAAGAGGGAGCAAATTGATAGAAAGTATTCATTATTTGTATACAGGATTACAATTGATTAGAATTAAGTAATATTAACATATTAGTACAATGACATAGTTACAAGTTCGAATAGATGAAGTTATTACTATCATGCTTTGATATGTATTAACATGAAATAACCTAATCTAGTAATCATCGTTGTTGTTATAATTAGTCGACTTAACCATTCAGTGCTTTATTGTAAACTTAAGAAATCTAACATAAACTGTGATCTATCATAATTGAATGACATAATCAATCATACCATAAGTGAAATTCGGATATTCAAACATTTTCATTATAAGTTAGTTTAGTGTTATAATCTTGATCAGTATCTAACATTATCTTAACCTATTCTGATGTGATTTTAATGCATAAATACATGTAGTTTTTCCTCGGAATGAATGAATACATGAATATGGTGATACCTTTGAGTGACGTTAGACTGACCTTGAGTATATCCCTTTAATAACCAGAACCAAATGAGGGTTATAAGTCGGTTTGAGAAATGATTTACAGTCGATGATTAAGATTAGGAATTAGATTGAGAGTTCTTTTTTTATCACGAACTGATATCAGCTATAATGACGAAATAGTATTTAACCAAATATATGAATGAATTTCGCGCCAAATTATGAGACCTGTTATCTTATACGTGATTAGTTTATCCATAAGTTAGAGTCTTGCCCATGGATATTTTTGAATAAATTCAGTCAATCAGTCAGTTACAACGTAAGACCACTGTTGGGTCGGCTTCCGGAGAACTTCAACGGAGCCTCCAGAGGCCCAAAAAGGAGCCGAAGGGCCTAGCCAATCAGAGTATGATGGAACGTTCGAGGATTCCAGCGTGGCGTGCTACCATTGGTCGGTAGCATAATATGACGTTAACGGATTGACTGAAATATGATGTTAATTTAACAAGCGCCAACATCTATAAATACCCTTGATTTTCTGTACTAGAATGAACCTTGGAATAAAGTGTTTTCTCTCATACTTTTGTCTTCTCTCTGGAGTTCAAGTCGCTGTGTAGTTCTAGTCTGCGGGTTACGGGAATAGCTTAGAGATGGTATATAGAGTTCAACCTACACGACTTATCAACCACATATAAATATACATCGGTTCAACTTGCTATATCACATTAGCACAATAAGATGAAAACCAAATTCATAGAAGTAGTCACTTTAATGGTGGTAATGTATAAAAGAAAGATTGTGTATAAGAATATAATACAGGAAGAATGGATTAGTTGATAGAAAGAAATATATAAAACAATTTTATTCACACAGTTTAAAGGAAGACAATATAATGTTCAATAAACTATACTCTGAAAAGTGATGATAGGTTCAGTTAACGATTTGCATATAGGAAAAAAAGCGCTCATCCTGGATTCAACTACTGACTATCATCTATCTCTGCTTATAATGCTTGTGAATTATGGCTATATCAAAGCAATCCTCACATGTTGCACATATTTCAATAAGATATGGATTAATTGAAGTTCTCAACATCAATGGGAATATTCTAACAGCCATACAAAAAATGAGTCAAATATTCCATTTATTACATAATCAAATAACTAATGAACGTGGAAAATAATTGAAATCTTAAATCTATTGACGTTAGACCATCACCGAAAACCTGTAAGCACTGGACAATTGGTTCGTCCTATTGTGGAACTTCTCAGCAGTGTGCATCCACGATCCCGCTGGTGGGATTCAAACTAAGAGCCATCAATCTCGCGCGAATGCTTAATCTACTAGACCACTGAGCTGGACGACATCTAACGGTGTTAATGTGTAACCGCAACCAATCCACGAAAATAATGTCAGTCATCATGAAATCATATTCATCAATATTGAATAACCAGTGGTTCATATCAGTATAGGGGTTGTAGAGATTATTAAGTTTTTGATTGAGATCATAAACCGATTGATGTTAGATCACCGTTAAAAACGCGGAAGTACTGGATGGCCATTTATAGTTTGTTTGACTTCTTTGAGAAATACTACTAAAATTGAATCAGTTTAAACAGAATTCTAGTTTGGAATGCTTAAAATGCATACAGCTAGGGATTTTTCTTTCATAGCTTACCGTTTTTTTAGCAAGTTACTTTTCTACAGGATGGGGTAGCTAACCCCTTATCCAACCCTCCTCCTTTACTCGGGCTTGGGACCGGCAGTAACTCTAGAAGAGCTACAGGCGGAGTTTTCATAGCTTAGACAAATATGTAATTAACAGTGGAGTTCCATTTAGGACTAATCAGTTAAATGTATCTTCATCTTAATGTTGATCATCAAAAAATAGAATTCAAACTTAGTCCAAATGATGGCAATTCATATTCTTTCTAAATAGAGAATAATATCATAACCAATGTTGTTACTATTCAAATTATAATCATCACTTAGTTCTATCTACAATTCTATCTAATTTAAGTTTTATTCTTTCAATATTTATAGTTATACTACAGGTGATTATTGTTGAATCCAATGTCAATGTCAATTTAGCAGACAATGTCGATGAAGGTAAGTCAATTATTATTGTTTTTGTATGTATTTAGTTATACAACATAAGAGGATATTTTGTTTATCGGTATCAATGTCGAAGTTGACCTTGATAAATTCCAATAATAGTTGAATATTGAATAGAAAATCAATATTGAATATATATATATCTTTTTTTATCAGAAAAGGGTTTTGTGGAGAATCTGGAAGCAATGGACTGACGTTTCATCTTAGTATGGCACTACTCAGCAATACATACCTACGCTCTTGCACGTGAGATTTGAATTCAGGATCTTTGATCGCATGAGTGAACGTTTAACCTCTAGATTAGCGAGCCGACATTCAACTGTGTTAATGTCTAACTTCAACTAATCCACGAAATTGCTCCACCATTCATCAATGTCTTCAGTGATTAACTATTTCACAACAGACCCGTTTGGATGTTGAATCAGTATTCTAGAAGTTGATTACTCGTGCGCGAGACCAAAGGTACTTGGTTCGGATCTCGCATGCAGAAGCGTGGATATGTAATGTTGAGTAGTCCCATACTAGGACGAAACGGCCGTCAAGTCCTTCAAGGTTCTTCATAGTGGACTAGATTTAGTCGACATATGAATTCAACTATTAAATTTTAGTATCATTTTTAACAAAACAATGTATTCTATTAATTTTTCAAAAGTTGAATTATTGATTGATTAATATCGTTTCATTGGTCTAAATCATGAGTCAATTGAAGCTAGACCATCATGGAAAACCTAGAAGCACTGGACGGCCGTTTCGTCCTGGTATGGTGCTCCTCAGAAGTGCGCATCCACGGTCCCACACCCCGCGTGATTCGAACCCAGGACCTACTGGTTTCGCGCGCGAACACTTTTGAGGAGTTCCATACCAGGACGAAACGGCCATGCCGTGCTTCCAGGTTTTACATGGTGGTCTAGCTTCAATTGAATCATGAATTAAACTAATGAAATTTCTAAAAATCTCCTCAAAACCTATTCTGATAATAATTAATATTGAATAAAGACAACTCAATACATTCAAGTTAACTAATTGGTTGGTCATTTAAAATGATATAAATATATTCAATGTACATTTTGATGTTGTTTTAATCAGTTATGAATCCATAGTTGGTACATAAATAAATTGACATTAATATATAGTCTTGTAGTCATTTGTATATCAAGACGCTGTCAGTTTATTCGACAGTCATAACAAACAACTGTACCATCAATAATGTCAGGATTTTATCAAGTCATTTTCATGACAGTAATATGAGTAACATTTAAAGGAATAATAAAAAAAGTTTCATCAAAATCATGAATCTATCTAAGTTGTAAAACTATTAAAAATCTGGAAACATTGGACGGTTTTATCGTCCTATTATGAAACTTATTATCAGTGTGCACCTACAATCCTACAATGAGAGAATCGAACCAAGGAGCTTCGAACTCGCACACCTTCAGACTAATTAGTCGGTATCCAACAATGTTAATAGTTATGATTTGATGTCCGGCTTTTTATCACGTGACTTATCCACCAATCAGGATACGACTTATGCAAATCTTCACACTATGCCAAACCAATGACGTTCAACCGGTATAAATAGTCTAGCGTCCTTATTGGTCCTATGTCTTCCTAACCCGTCCATTTGAGTCCAGAGCACAATACCAGCTTCTGTAATATGAATCAAATCAAATCATTTATTTCAGACATACTTGGTTTATCTATCAACCAAATAGACCACAACGTACCATAAAATAGAAAATAACATGTGTACACAATAAAGCCAATAAGTGACTGTGAACGCGGGAGATAGTAATTAATAGAATGAACATAGCTTAAGAACCGTAAATCATATAATAATAAATTATACGTCAAAATAAAGCTTATAATAAGGGGAATATGAATATACATAGTCTAATTATTGAATAGTTATACAATAAGAATATTCATAGAATATTAGTCGATTAATAGTCCTCAGAAGTTATCCGTAATTTAATCTTCACTCGGATATAACAATAATGTCTAACATTTCATCCATTGTTTTAAGTAGATCAGACTTCACTAGTCAAAGGTACTCATTGAAACTTCAAGAAAAGTCTATCTTTAAGCTAGATACTAGTAATTACATGGTTATTATTATTATTATCAGAATAGAGATTTATGGAGATGAAATAATCGTCCAGTGCTTCCAAGTTTTCAATGATCATACAGATTAGAAGAATTATTTATGCATTCATGTATATAAGACTTTACAATCATGTTTATATTGTTGTTTATATGATTTTCTTCCATATTTATGTATATATATATATAGTTTAAAAGAACCAACATTTTGGTTATTACAAGAAGCTGAAAACTATTTCTATTTTGAATGGACTCCATTTTATGCATCAAAAAGTGATGCATTAAAACTGAATTTAAACAAATATGACATAACAAGACAATTAAAAACTGATGAAACTGCATCAAAATTACAAACTATTGGTACAGCATGTATAAATGAAGAGTATACTATTACAGATCATCGTTTACACATTTATGTGATTGATAGTGTCATTTCAAAAAGGAAATTAAATTATAAACGTAGTGAGTTCTAATTTTGTTAGTATAAATGATGAAGATGATTAGTAGTATATTACTGAATAACAGTTGAAATCCAATTTTTTTTGTGTAAAAATATGTTCAAAGTATGAGAAGTAAACGATGAACTGTAAAGAAGAGTTTTGATTGATGATTTATAGATTACTTACTTACTTACTTAACAGTGTCATTCCTCGGGGAAGAATATAAACTGCACAACAACATTCTGCATTCAACTCTATCCTGGACATTACTTTTTATTTCTTTACAGTTTTTGTTTATTATTTTGATGTTAGTTTCCAATTACTGGAGTAATATGTTTTTCGACTTTCCTCTTTGTTTGTTCCGTTCACGATTCCAACTTAGCACTTGACTCATGAAGAAGTTTGGTGATTTCCTTTATGAATGCTCTACCCACTTTCAACGTCTTTCCCTACATATGTGACTTCTGATTGCACAGTCATGCATGTACGAAACTACTGTAATTGCGTTACTTATTAGTAAGTGACGCGAACCAGAGGACATGTGGAAATGCTGACCTTACGAAAACTTTGGTACAATGAAACATTTCACGAGGCATACAAGAATCCCAAATTTCATATGTTTGCACACTATCCTCCTCATACTCATATATCAATTATCGATATTATGATTTCTGTTGATTTCAGATATCTCGAAATATCATTTTGAAATAAACAATGCATATAATAGGGCATTAATATATCATGAAAAGCCGTGCTTATTTGTATGGAGATAATCTTTAGTTGTAAGATCTTTGGTGCACATTCTTACTAAGTATATTAGGCTGAAACAGTTGTTTAGTGTTTCCCCATTTTCAGTGCTTATTTAAGAAAGATCGTTCTATGCTGTTAACTATATATATTTGTAAGAATATAGTGTAAACAGCATTTTAATGTTTAGTTTTTAGAGTGCAAAGTACAACAATCGGGATGACAGATAAAAAGCCCGCATACATAACATGGAAAATAAACGAAAAAATTTGCAATCCATACGATGCAATAGTGATTTTTAAAAAAGATTCAACAGGATTTCATCGAATGCATATTGTCTCTGTTGATGAAACAGCATTTTATTTTGATGAAATATTACAAGACCAAGAAGAGATTATTATTACAAGTTATCATAAGAATATGTTTGGTTTATCTGAATTAGGTAAGTCTATTAAAGTGACTTTATTAACCGAAAATGTATCGACATCTAATTCTCATTAGTTTCAAGAAGAAGCTAACCCCCTACGCACCGATTATCCTTATTAATGAAGACGTTTGCAGATTAATCACTAATAATCACATAATGATATTGTAGTTTATATTACGCAATATAAACTACAGTATCATTATGTGATTATTAGTGATTAACCTGCAAAAGTTTTCAATAATAAGGATAATCGGTGCACGGGGGGTTAGCTTCTTCTTGAAAATTTTTAACTGATGAGGCCAATATCACTGGTTCAGGCAAGAAATGCCAGTAATTGACCACTCGATCGGTTTTCTTTTATTTCCCCTTTATTGGTTGTTTGGGTCGAAACGGAACCTAGCTTTAAGTTTAATAGATGGCGGCTTTTGAAGCTTCCTCGGAAATTATTAATTCTGAAGGGAGCAAGAAGATCAGAAATATCAACATCTAGATAGTAATTAGAGATAAGGAATGACAATGAATAGTGACCACACGCTCTGCGATAAGAAAAAAAGGAAAGCTCAAGCAACCAATACAGGGGAAACAAAAGCGAAGAAGAAGGAAATAAAGCGGATGAAAGCGTAAATAAAGTGGAAATGTGAATTTTTCGCCTTCATGTCGGTAATTTAGAGATTTAAGAGCTATTTGTAAGGGAGTCGAGAAAGACCATTCACTAATTATTATTGCTAGCTTCATTCGCTATTATATTTTTAGTAAAAAACGGAATTTTCAGCCCAAAGTATTTCAACAACTTTCCTTTTCGTATTTCTTGATCTATTATGTCAACAAATAATAAGTGATTGCCAGCTGGAAGTTAGCGGTCCAGTCTATCGATATCTTAGAAATGTACATTTTTTCGCTACGTATTATCAGCAACCACAATATCTCTGAACAGGCCTTTTATAACCTGTACAACGAAATGTTGTACACTTTTCACAAACGTACCTGAATAGGTCATGTCTTCAGTCTTCAGTCTTCAGTAATAAGGATAGTAGGTTGATGAACCTGTGTTAATCCTGACACATTACTTTGCAGTGAAGGTCCAGCTTTTCCTTGAAAGTATTCACTGATGTGATTAAAAACCATTGTGACGTATTAAAACAAATATAAATATGACTTGCTGAAATATCTAGATGTAAGGAACAGACAGGTTAGACGCTCCTACTCGCTAAAAACGTTCATGTGAGCTAGTATTCTTGATAAGACATTCACCAGCTGCTTGAATACAGTACTTTAGGTGTGGTCTTACATATGCGGTATGTAAAATTCAAAGCATGTCCTTGTCAAGGCATTTGAATCCTTGGAGAAGTGACCATAACTCACGAAAACGTTTTGCAGCTACTGATTTGCGATGTCTTGTTAAATTTAGGTCATGACATACTATTACCCATAAGCCTTTGTGTTCCTGAACTCATGGAAGAGATGTAACGTTGATAGCATACTGGTAACTATTACAGTGTCCAATGTGGATGAGCATACTTAATTTCATAACGAATATAAGACGGACAAAAGATTAAATCAACAACAAATTTTTCAGTACTTCTTATTCAATAAAAAAAACAGCTTTGTAGAAAGATCCATTAATGAGAAAAAGAACAATAAAGTATCATTTATAACGAACGGGTTTTACATTACAGTTTACTCTTCATGTAAGTTGATAATAACATAAGTGGAAAGATTCTCCCGTAAGGATATAGAGCACAAGACTTCCAGAGTTGTAGAAATGATCTAAGTAGATTTTTAAGAGTATTCTGATTGAAATTGGTTACACATAAATAATAAAGTTCAGGGTTGAATAATGAAGATTCAGTTCACATTATGAACTGATATTAGTTATAATACAAAATGCTGTGTAGCGCCAAGGCTAAAAGGATGCTATGCATAAAATCACGAGTTGCCACATATATAGTTCATTCATCAAAAATATATTCCTGGTAGGTTAAGTCGTCTTTAAGGATAGTATGGTTTACTAATAGTATCGATATACCTATTATGTTTATTCTATCAGAAGAAAGATGAACAGTTAACGTGCTGTAAAACATGATTTTCATCTTATGATTGTAGCAACCATTTGTTTTTCGTGAACTATTAAATAATATTTCTTCTTAACGCTATACATAAAATAGTTGTATTGACAGCAATGTATGATATTTTGTTAAAGATGTATTAGAGATTGTGTACAGTGTATTTAAAAAGAGTACAACTAGTTATTAGGACTATATTGAACATATTTTATTGATTAGAGAAATGTTCAACACGATTGTGAGTTACTAAATGTATCCTAGTGATGAAAGTACAGTATTCGAAACCACTTCACCTTTATCATTATATTAACGAAATAGAAAGCATGTAAAATTTACTTGATATAACTCAACAAAGATCTGTGAAAATTGTTATATCTTGTGACCGCCGATTAGATGACAGTGAATTATTGATCGGACCAAGAACGCGTAAAACATGTGCGAGCAGCCTAGAGTCCTGACTAGTTCTGCTTCCCGCCCAGTTCAGCCAGTTAAGTCCAGAACACCAGTCTCAGCTTCTGCAATATGAATCATTATATTTCAAATATACTGAGTTTATATCCCAACTAAACAGACCACAACGTTCCAATAAAATATGAAGCAACATTTGTACAAGAATTATCCAGATGTGACTATGAATGAGGGAGGTAGTAATTAATGTACTGAGCCAAAATAAAGCTTATAATAGGAAGAATATGAATATGAACAGTTTACTTAATTAACTATTATGCGATAAAAATATACATATAGTACTGGTCTACAAATGGATCCCAAAAGTTACCATTCATTATGTTTATTGGGTCCTACCCGTGTCGGGTAGAGACAGGTATCTACCTCAGTACAGTGGAAGGTGGTCGCGCAATTTCATGGATTGGTTGATGTTAGACACTAACACTATTGGATGCCGGCTCAGTGGTCTAATGGTTAAGTGCTCAGGCGCGAAGCCAGTAGGTCCTGGGCTTGAATCCCGCGGGGTGCAGGATCGTGGATGCGCACTGCTGAGGAGTCCCACACTAGGACGAAACGGCCGTCCAGTGCTTCCAGGTTTCCAACGGTGGTCTAACATCAATTAATTCATGATCTCAACCAAAACCTTAAGAATCTCCACAACCCCCATACTGATAAAAATTACACAGATTGATAACAAATTGAACATGCTTTGCAAATGTAAACAAACATTTCATTGTTATATTGAATTTTCATTTCATTTTATTCATTGCATATTAAAAACAATGATGAACATTGGATAGTTGTAAGTTATTACTCATTACTATTATAGAATAACAATGTTTATAAATTATAATACAATGAATAAATGATAACGTTCAAAACATTTTCATGATTGATATTTGTTTCCATGATGATGTCTGTGTTATGAGATATTTTTATGATTTGATTGTTACTTTGAGGTATTTATACAACAAGATTTTGATGTCTACAATAAACTAGTTGTGATTATGTCATACAATCTAAATGTGTCTATGTACTTTGTTTTTTTTTCATATTTACACAGAAATACGGAATGAAATCTGATAAACCAGGTAGAATGATTAGTATAATTTGTTTGGTTATTTGAAAGTAATTCCATTTTACGGTGAATATGTTATCCAAGGGTTGAGCAAGATAATAGATCCATTAGAATTAGACAATAATACTGTTGTATACCGAATCAGTAGTTTAGAGAATAAGTGTTCTTGAGCAAGTCTAAATCTCCAGGTTCGATTTCTGCTTACGGTATCTTAAATGCGCACTACTGAAGTGTCTCATAGTAGGATGAAACAACCGCTCAATGTTTCTAGATATTCAATGATGATCTAGCTTAGATCGAGCTGTGAATTCAACTATGAAAATACTACAATCTTCACAAATCTCCATACTTAAGATGTTTCATAATTTACTCGTCTGATGAATGCCTGAATTGTAGCTCACTCTGAACACCCGTTTCTTTTTTACTTGAGGAAAGATGTGACCGTATATTACGTGACAATCGTGAACTGATCACACAATAAAAAACTTCATATTCCAGTTAACTAATTAGTTTGAGGATTTCATTTGAAGGATACAATACTTAAGATGTTGCAATGAAATGCAATGAGATGTTTAACAAATAAATATCAGTGCTGGTTATTAACAACCGGAATCACAAAACTTTACTGACCAATTCGTATGTTAAAGGTTGTTTATTTTCTTAAGTATTATGTTTACATTTGAATTATTATGTGCTATGTTCAAGCATCAGTTAATATTTCAATGGAAGTACATTTAACCGATATGTAGAAAACATTGATTCTACATTTAACTGTTAAACACCAACCAAAGAATATTCAATCTAATCCGTTCTGTTATAAGTCATGCCTAATTCTCATATCAACTAAGTTGAATCCGAAAGTAATCAGTAATATTGAATAGAAATCTAAGTCATTATAAGTTATGACACAGACCAATACTCTGTGACCAATCAGTTGTAAGTAGTTTAAAATGTCATTTTATCCATTAAAATTCTTGATTCCACAGATCGATCAATAAATATGAACATTACGAGGAAACGTGTTATGGGTAAATTGAATTATCATAACCTTCTCAATATTACATTCACAAATATGATTTTCATTTTGTAACTAACTAAATTGTGATAGTGAACTAATTTTAACACAAAATATCATGATAATTTGGCAACGATCAAATAGGTGGTTATTTACAAGAAACTGATAAATATGGTATAATGTTTCAAATTATTTGAATTGCAGTATGAACTAAGAATCCCAGAAATAACGCAATCGAATCAAGAAGTATTAGATGAGCACAAAAGAATTTACTGTATTTGGAATTTGAAATCAAGCATTCAACAAGTGTATAAAAAAGCATTAGTTAATTCAAACACCACATCCGCCACAGCTCAAATTGGAATAGAATTGTCTGTAATAGGTTGTGCGACTTCTTCTTAAGTTTATCCTGTGTCTGTAGTATCTAGAATGTGCTCATTAGTATCGGAATTAACAAACGAAATCGGAACA